TATTATAACAATCTTATCAATTGTTTCTTTTTATTTTTTTTTTATAAAAGATGAAGAAAAAAAAAAGCTAGAAAAAAAAAAAAAGGAACTGTTAATATAGAACAGTTACTTATTAACGCATTTCAACAAATCACTTAAATTGTTGTATTCGATTATCACTGTATTTGATAATCTTAATAATTCACTTTTTTTTTGAATAGAATTCAGTAAGGTAGAATAGTAATATATAGTTTAGATAGTCTTAGACTGACGTTAAATAAAATTAGTCAAATATCAGAATAATAATAATAATTGATTAGTTTTCTTTTCTTATTGAAATAAAAAAAAAAATATAGACAGAAACTTTTTTGGTTTTTTTTTTTTATTTTATATTTTTGAAACAATCAATGAGCAGATGAAAATGACCACAGTTTAGCCAGGTACGGAAAAGTGAAAATAGATCGATTGATCAACAACGGGGGAGGGGAGGGGGGGGGAGGGTTGGCTAAATGTTTGGGAGGAGAATTGTGTTGGTCACGACGATACAAAGGGTCTACCTTCGTTGCTACTGAGCTTCACCAATAGAACTGGTATTGAAAACCAACTGTAGCCGAAGGAACACACACACACACACACACACAGATGGATACATTGGACACCACTAACTGGTTTAGTGGTCGATAAGAGGTGAAAATAACTTCTGGCAGCTAACAATAAACCACCAAAACACTACTGGAATTGTCATCATAGCATCACTACAATAAAAACTGGCATAACTGAAGTCAAGATGCATGGTACTTCGACGGTACTGCAAAAATTTTTTTTTTGTTCATCAACAAAATTTTAATCACTAATTTTTTTTTTTTTTCTTTTCAAATTTCCTTTAACCAACAAATGAAAAAAAAAATCTGTTTATTTATTTTCTTCAATCAGCTAACTGTTTTTGGTTGCTGTCGCTGTTTTTGGTGCTGCTGCTGTCGTTGTTGTTGTTGTTGTTGTGTATCAATTCATGCCAAATAATAACTAGATAAGTGTTTTAGTAAAATTGTTCCTGTGATACATTGATCAATGTAATCATTGCTGTATTAATAAAAAATTTTTATTTTTATTTTTATTTTTCAGCTGATATTAAAGCAAGAAAAAAAAAAAATTTCAATTTCAAAAATTCTTTTGTTGTTGTCGTCGTTGTTGTTTGAGTTTTGTTTATTTTTCAACAACATACAGTGTGGTGTTCGTTAAGTACAATGCTGTTGTTATAACAACTAATTGTGCTGTTTAACAAGTGTTCTAAAGAAAAAAAAATAAATAAAAAGTTGATGAAAATGTTGCAATTTACAAAATTTATAGTATAATTTCAAAATGAGGTTATTGATACGGCAAAAAGACGAAGACGAAGAAGAAGAAGAAGAAGAAGAAGAAGAAGAAGGAGAAGTAATGGGAATAAACTAAGTATTTGACTTGTTTGCTATTGCCGTTGTTACTGTTGTCCCAAAAAAAAAAAGAATTGTTTATTTTTTTCAAAAATTTTTTTTCAAAAAACGTCAAAAAAAATTTCAACAAAAAAAAGCATCAGATTAATATTTAAATATATTTTTTTTTTCAGATTATTGCTTACCGTTTCTGATAACGGTTTGATAAAAAGAAGAAACAGAAAGAAAAGAAATTTACAATAAAATTAGAATTATTAGGAAGTTTTTCTCTTTTGCTTTTTTTTTTCTTCTTTGTTTGTTTACAAAAGAAAAAATAAAGTTTATTAAATTATATAATTTTTTGTTTAAATAAACAAAACAATTAAAGCTTTTTTAAGGGAAATCTTCCAACAATTATATACATTGAAATTGAAGCAGTGTTGTGGTATTGCCATTTATGGAATCGGCTGAGATTGCTGGAATAATCGGCGACATCAGCGGAAGAAGTATTGGTATCATTTTGGGATATATGTCAGTCTTATTTTTTTTTTTCAACAATTTACTGTACTTTTAACAAATTTTTAAACCAAATTTTGAATAAATTTTTTGCTTAGATATTTTTCAGTAGCATAAATTTGCTTTTTGCATAATCTGTTCCATTTTTCTTTAGACCTTGCCGTTGTTCAGAATCATATTTGCTAATTTAGTATCTGAAATTGTTGAGTAAGTTTGTTGTTGTTGAAAATGATAAACAGTATTGAAGAAATCAACAATTTTATTACAGTTTTAATTAATTTCATTCTATTTTTTTTGATAGTAATATTGTTGTAAACCGATAAATCGACAAAAAAGTTACCGGTTAATAGAAACAAAAAAAAAAAAGACGAAAGAAGATTTGTGTTTTCTTATTTCTGCCTCATTTTTTTTTTTCTTTTTTTTGTTGACATTTACCACAAATTGTTTTCAGAAATGATTAATTCGATTAGAAATGGCAATAAAACTGTTGGAAAAGATACAATGTTTGTTGACCGCAGCACAAACAAAACTATACAGAAGGCTATTTCTTCTGGTTTTTTTTTGCATCTGATGTTACCTGCTGTCGTTTGCTGTTTTTTTTGTGAAGTCAAATTGATATTTATAGTTTTTAGCAAAAGCTTAAATTTATTTTTACTTTTTTAAGGTGCTTTATTGTATTACCAATTTGCTGCATTAATTTTACACAATTATTTGTCATCAATTTATTCTGTAACCACTTTTAATAATCTTCTTTAAAACTGATTAATTTTCTTTTTTTTTTTTTTAATATCGTTTTTTTTTTT